AAATGATCTCTGTGCTATCTGCATGACCAATACCAGGCCATATCCTTAGGCTCTTAAACTAGTGCAGGTAGTATACCTCTAGATCCTATCTTCTTGAAGGAAATGACATACATAACATAAATAATAAAAACCCAGAGACAAATATTGGGGTACAAGCTGAAGATCAGAAAAGAAAAGCATCCAAGTCAGTAGCTCTTACCTCTACCTCGGACTGAAATGTGTGACCCGTCTCCATGAATCCTCAGAGGCAAATGCTTCCCTGTCTGAAAACTAAATGTCACAAGAGACCCTTTGCTTCTTCCTTTTATGCCTCTCTAATGCTGGGATTAAAGGCATGATCTCTGTTACTCTTTTAGACTGATTCACTCTCATGTAGCCCTGGGTGGCCTTGAACTCAGAGATCTGCCTACCTGTATCCTGATTTCTGGGATTAAAGGTGCGTATGAGCACTGCCTGACTCCATGGCTAGCTTTGCATTTTGATCCCTAGTGGAATTACTAGATCATAAATGATATATCACCACAGACATGTACCCTGAAGTTCAGAGTAACTATATTTCCTTGTGTAATGGAGATTGTCCTACACCAGGAAAGTTATTCAGAAGTATGCTAGGATTAAATACATTGGGAATAAACCTCTCATTATTAGACTCCTGAAAGTGTGATCCAGGTTGGTGGAGTCAGTATGCACTGGGTTTTCATTCTTATCTCTTCATGGGGTTCACTTTCCTGTATGACATCTGCAGAGATCCTCTTAATAAAGAGAGAGAGAGATCATGTAGCATCTGTCTTCCCGAGCCTGAGTTACCTCAAAGTAATTTTTAAAATTCCATCAGTTACCTCCAAGTTTTATGGACTTCTGGGTTGACTCCATTCTCTAGATATTGTAAACAGAGTGGCATGTTTTTCTTAGCAACCTTTGTTGACTTCTGTGGTTCAGACCACATACTGTACATAGCTGTAAAGTGTCAAATGTACGATTTATTTACAAAGGGCCTTTGGTCTAGTTTGAACTAGTTCTGAGGTGGAAATGAGATAATTATGTGCAGTTAGTCTGAGCAAAAGAACAAAGCTGTTAAGTGGGATCCACTTATGAAGCATGCCCCAGGATATATTCTATATATCAAAAGTATATAACTAAATGAAAAACTCATGTTCTGACCATACACCAATGTATGTGCCCAGCAATTGATTAACATATTATTGGGGCTTGGGGGAAATATCCTACCATAGAGAGGGAGCATTCTGTCTTCAAAGGGAATTTACAGTAAGAATAGTGACTATTCAGAAAGCAAATACTCCCACTGCTCTGGGTGTTGGTCTCCTCCATTGGAATGTGTGATCCAGGTGGGTTAGCTTTGTGATTTGTCAGCTGTGTTATCACTGCATAACCCTATAGACTGCAGCTGGGGGGCCTCATAAGGCTTAGACCAAAACCTACCATTCCTCCATACCCACTGCCTCTTATTGCAAGGAAAGAGACAACAGCTCAGGTTTCAGGAAAGGAGAGTGGACTCATGTTATGTAGAAGGTAAATATGTGTCAACGATTTTTGTAATGTTCTAAAGCTATGCACTTTCTTCAAAATATAGATCTAATTATGAGTAGATATTATATAGTATATGATTGGAATCAAGGCTTAAGTAACAAGTTAACAAAAAATTTAAAATCTAATGATTCAACGATTTAATTTCTCTTAAATATGAAATTGGGACTAAAGTCAAAACCAGTGTTTTTCTTAAGTGGATAAATGGAGGTGAATTTGAGAGTTAGAAAGATTAAACTTCATTTCATAATGATAGAATTTACAGACATGTACACGAAAAGATCTTAATGCAATAGAAGTCTTGGGGAAAAGTCAATAAATGTCTATTATAACCAGCTTACTTCATGACTATTTTAATTACACTCTGTTTTGTATTTTATTGGTGTCTTCTCATTTCATGTGGTTAAACTAAAATGAAGTCAGCAAGGTCATGTGTCTACTTCTCCAATGCTCATATTAACAGAATGGCATTGGCTAACATTGGTGGAACATGGGTGTGTTTCATGGGTGTGTAACCCAATACATAATGATGAAACTGTATGAAACTGAATCTCAGTTTGCATTGAAACTTTGTGTACTAAATGAAGAAATGGATGCCCACAGCAAAGAAGCTGTTTCAAGCAAGGTCTCAAGAATCCCTTCAGAGCTCAGCATACTGAAACTGGTACCTTGTGTGGAGTGGAAAATTGTGTAAATTCATTAATCAATGAATCAACTAAGGAAAGGCAAGTGTCCTTGATGCTGAGGGATTATTTAGTGGATAACCTTTAGCCTTTCTGGATACAAGTTTGGCAACAGGATATTGATTTTAACAGGGATTGTGTCTCTTTTTTGATGATTTTTATTTAAATTTAAAACAAGCTTATTTTACATGTCAATCCCAGTTCCCACAACCTCCTGTCCTCTCCTGTTTCCCCCACCAACCCTTCATCCCATCCCCTTTCTGCTCCCCATAGAGAAGACTTCCGTGGGGAGTCTTCAAAGTCTGTCATATCATTTGGAGCAGGGTCTATGCTCTCCCCCTTGTGTCTAGGCTGAGGGAGTATCCCCCTATATGGAATGAGCTCCCAAAGTCCATTAAGAGCAGAGTAAATGTTCCACTTATCTGTCTGGACTCAGATGATGGAGCACATTTTCTCCCTTCTGTGTGAAAACTCTAGAACTATTCTCAGGGTCACAACAACTAAGCTTGGCATGTGTTTTTCTCTCCCCAAATCACAAGTAAAATTAAAAAGAGAAAATTACTGAAGAATTCATGGCTTCTCCACTTTGGGATGTATGGCAAATGGTTTGATATTAAATCAAATAATCTGGATATGGATAGTCCACTGCAGAATCTGTGGTCGGTAAACCTCAAGGAACATATTTTGCCTTTTGACATATGTTTCAAAGCACTTTTGAAAAAGCCATGCAAATGCTGTGAGTGGCACAGTACCAAAAAGCAGCTTTCCTCTGCTCCAGCTGTGCCCCATTTCACCCACAGAGCAGGCTCATGAGCACATGCAGGTGGATTCCAAGTGCCAGCAACCTTTTAAATTGATAAATTCCTTCTATGCAATTAGGATTTCAAATGATTATTGGTAGCAGGGAATTGTGTGTTCTATTCCCCCATCTCCAACATAAATCTACTTTAATCCTGACTCTAACTCATTTTATAAATGAAGAAGTAAAGAGAAATTCAGGACAGAATAATAATAAAGATGTACAAAAACGAAGGTATTTCCTCTCCAAACCATAGCTAAGTATCTAGAGGAATTCAATCCTTTGAATGATTTCTTATCATGATTTTAGACAGGATACATTTTGTTGCATTTTCTTCGAACAGTTGCCTCTAAAACACTTAGCACTACCCCCTGTTTCTTTGCAATCCCAGGGTAATTGACATTTCAAAACAACATGCATATTAATAAGAAGCATCCTATACTTGCTAGGTTAGGTCCCTGCAATGATAGTTAAAATCAGTTGATATTCTCCTTTAAGGTCCCATATTTTACTTCAATGCCTTATTTAGAAGTGTTGTTGCTCCTTTCATGGAATAGTTGCTCTTGGGATCCCTATGCTTCATTTCACTGTAGAGGGCTTTATGATAACTTTCCTTCAATGTTTCAGACAACAGAAGTACAACTATACACACACACCAAAAACATGCCACATGCATCACACCACACATATACATACACACATCATATCCACACAGAGAGACACACTTGAACACACAGAATTACCCCACACACACACACACACACCACTTCTTACCCACTTAGCAGCTATGTAATTTCCCACCACTCCTCATCTTGGCATTGGACTTTGTGAGATTCCCCCAACCCCATTACCATGTCCACTGTTTTTGTCCTTTTGTAGGCAACCATGATGCTGAGATTTCATGGCTGTAACTCACTGCTGTGTATAGAAGACAAAATTTCACAGCAAACTTCTTGTTCCTCTAGATCTTTCGATCATCCCATACACAGTCCATAATGTCCCCAGAGCCTCAGGTGTAGGATTGTAGAGTAGACACGTAAATTGGGGTTGGGAACCTCATGGTCAATTGTTTTCTGCATTCTCACTAGATACAGGTTTCTCTGATATTCTCCATTTGCTGAAGAATGAAACTTCTTTGATAAGGGTAAAAACCGAATGAAACCTCTTTGATAAGGGTAAAAACCATCAACTACATCACGTTATTTGATGTCTACATGTCATATTATCAAAGGCATGCTTTGTGCATGCTCCAAATAATTTGAATTTATTACATTAAAGACAATATTTCACTGTATTATAATACTGACTTTAAGACCAAGAAAACCTCCCATGCTTTTACATGAACTTCTGTTTAGTGTTACAACTTGAGAAGAAAAGGCTAGTGTAATGTTATTCCTCTAACATGAACACTATTGTCTCTTGCTAACTCATAAAAACTCATTACATGTCATCATTTCTCAGTGAATGCATTCATAACTTACTAATGACCAATACTTGATGCATTTTACTTGTTTTTAAACATATAATTTGAGGTAAATTATTGGTATATAATTGAGTTGAAGGAAAAGGCCTTGAAGGTCTCGATCATGGACATATAAACTTGTTGAATGAACAGCAATACTAGCTGACAATAAGCCATCCCCTAACAATAAAGAAATGAACAGTGAATTCATTTCTTCCCCTGGTGTGTCTTACCCTTTTCATCCTAGGAGAAGGTAATCTTATAGACGCATATTAAAGTTTGGTTATTTACAAGAGTTGGGGTGTGAAGCTCAAATTTGAGAAACACCTTGGTTTGTGAAAATTTACTGTGTAATTTTTCAAGACAGTAACAGTGTTTAGCAATAAGGGTGGAGAACTTTTCAAATATATAACATGGTAGTGATGAGGACAATTTGTCTAGACAGGAGTTACAGAAGAGTTATATACACTTAAGCTATCCAACAGCCACATCTGAATCTCCTGGCTCTACCATGGGGGGTTTAATGTTCCTTCACTTGATGTTCCTGGCTGTGTTCTCAGGTAAGAAAGCTATATTTTGTGTCTTTCTTTCCAACTCTCTAAGGATGGGTTTGAACATTTGAGGGAAGAGGTGATGCTTTATCAGAATTAACAACAAAATGGCAAAGATTATTTCAGGAAAATATAAATCCAGAGATGTAAAATGGTGACTGAGTGTAACAAGAGTGGAAGACTTGTTATTGGAGTGAAGCAAGAATTAGAAGTCGGAAAAGGCTGTGTACAAAGATACTGTCAATCTAAATATGTTATAAGAGCATCTAAAAATTCACATTCATGTCCTGTAAGAAAAATCACCTAATGTTGCATGTGATCAAATATTTAAAATGTATTTTAATACTGAATTTTTATATTTATTTAACTTGCTTAAGATGTTGCAGTCCCTTTTTCCTATAAATAAAATAGAAATAGTTATACTTCCCTTTTACTTTAGAAATTACATGGGTGGTTACATCAATTGCCATTATTTGAGCTCTTTTTGGATGACATACTGTTATACTTTCTGTTTCATACTTTAACATAGTTGTTTTAAAAGATATAGATTCTAGTTGATATATGAATTTCTAAATATGATGAGAAATTCTTACTATCTTAATATATACATCTTAATTCAACATCTTAATACATATATTAAGATAAGGAATATAATATAATATATTTTAGGGGACTATGTTTAGTAATAGATTTCATGCTTAAGAATTCTATGTCCAGAACAAGGATAGATTTAATTTATCCCCAAATTATGATCTTTCTTAAAACTAATGTAAAGGAATAACAAAATGCCTAGTACCTAGAGCTTCTTATGCCTGCAGTCAAGGACATAATGGCTGTCTTCCTACTGCAGACACTGTGGAGCTATCTCATGTTACTGAAGACATGCAGCTCATTCAGAAACATGGGTCTTTTCATAGTACCGAAATGCATTGAGGCAATTGTTACATGAAGATGTTATTGGAAATAAACTGTGTTAGGAAATTAGTATAGTACTGAGGGACAGAGTGAGAGAAGTAGAATGTAGGGACACATATGTTTGGTGGAGAGAAGAGGCTGGATAGCTAAGATCCCTCCCTGAAGCCCCTGCTCATGATGGCTATACCTGCCATGCACTTTGAGGGTCTCTAGGTGACAGTATGTACTAAACATACTGTCAACAGAAGAAAGTGTCAAGACTATAGGTAGCAATTATATGAGCTTGGGAGGCAAAGAAGAGCGAGGTATGAAGAAAGAGAAGCCAAGCATATGTTGGGATTTGTAATATTAGAAAAGACAATTCAAAACAAAAGAAAAACCAAAACAGAAGATAGCTACTTTCTAAATTTTGTATTTAAATACATAGTTCTAACATAATATGAAGTCTATTTTATATTCTTATATACCAAGCTGGACTTGAACTCACAGCAGCCTTCCTGACTCAGCCACTCCATCGCTCATTTGACAGGTACATGCCACTATGTCCAGCATGATGTGACTTATCACCAAAATTCCACCTCAGGATTTTTTTAGTCTAGATTTTTTTTCATGTTAGATAAGTGTTTAATCTAAATTTTCACTGAATAATTTTTTGTGCAATAAACTGAGAACATAAACTAGCTATTATGGAAAGAGTAACTAAATAAATGAAGCATGGCAAATCCAAATAATGAGGCAGGAGTGGCCATCAAGGGGCAGAATGGAAGCACACTGGGTCGTTATTCAATGACAGTGTTCCTACACTGTTGTGGAAGGAGACATGGAAGGGAACAGTAACTGCATTGAGTTTCAGAGTACTTGGGAAACATTTATTTCTGAATATGTTTTAACCACCTGGGACATTTTAAAAATTTGCTTTGATAGTTTTGGTTCACATGATTATTTCCAACCCAAGGAAGCATGGAGGAGGTGGATAGAGGAGACCAGAAAATTTACCTACAATTGCATTTTGTCTTTAAGATTCGGTGCCATTTACCTATGGCATCTATTCAAAATTAAGATGATGAATAAAAATTAACCCATTGGCCTGTTTTCCATCTCATCACATTTCAAGCTGATTGTTACTCAATGCTAGTGACTGGGATTGAAAAACCTTTGGTCTCTAAGACTTTGAGAGTGAACATCTGTACTCACGGTCTTTCTGCCTTTTGGTTTACTTTCAACCTTTTCCATTTACATCTTGTCCACTTTTCTGAGGAGGAAAATAATTATCTACAGTTTTGGTTTGGTTTGGTTTGTCGTTTCCATTTTACAGACTCTAGAGTGACATTGGTTTTTTTTTTTATATCTTTCTCTTCTTCACCTCCTAGGTCCACATAAGCACCACATTTTGCAGACACATCCGTGTTACCTGGTTTCTCATTCACTTTATTTTGTATGTTGTAGAACTGATCATATGACTATGCATTCCTATTTACACATTTGTATTCATTGACAGTCTTCTTGTGTTCTTTGTTATATCTTTAGCTCTCATTGTAGTCCTGGCACAGGGAGGGACTCTTTAAACATAAGCATTTTGTTAACTGGATGACTGACTAAATTACTATCATGGTTGTCCTCATGCTCTACCAGCATAGTTCAGAAGGCTGCCAGCTGCTCAGTATTCTGCCCAGACAAAGTCCTAGCTACCAGTCAGTGCACCGGCATACTCAGCACAATTGCTGATACATTCGATTGTGTTTAGATTGTGAGATACAAAAGTGTACACCTTTAAAAATACCAAGCAGAGCAACTTAAAATTCAAATGAAACTCTGAGTATAAGTTGGGCATCATCTACCTTGAGATGATATTAAGTTATGTGAAGTAAGCAAATAATTACCTAGGAAAATAATGTAACATTGAATAAAAACTTGGAAGAAACCTCATGATAAAAGAAAAAAAAAAGACTACTTTCAAAAACAAGAGGAGATAAAAGAAACACTTGTCCTAACAAAAGATATGACCCAGAAGAATACCATTTTCCTTAACTATAAAATGTTAACTTTTTCCCATTGTTTTTAGACTTGCACTCCAAATACTTATCATCGTATCCACGGGTAAGTGTAGTGCTCACCCACATTAAGATTTTTTTTTCCACAAAAAAGACAGAGGTCATTTCAGAAAGCTACAGCTTATCAAAGTGCAGGGATCAGTTGACCATAAGCTGCCCTCCTCCAAGTGGACGTTTATGACACAATCCTTAAACTTTTATGTTCAGGGAACATCTTGGGATAGAGTGGGAAAACTGCAAAAGCCTGAAGGTTAGGACAGTTGCTGGGAAAGACTCTTCTGGAGAACAATGACATAGAAAAAGGATATGACTGAGGTGAGGAAGTGGGTCTGGGAGAACTAGGGAAGGAGTTGCAGATGAATATGATCAAGATATGTTGTATAAAATTCTTTAAGTCTTAATTTAAAACAATACCTTACAATAAGGTATAATAGCATACAATAAACCTAATAAATGAAATGAAAGACCTCCACAATAAATATTTTATGACACTGTACAAGTAAATTAGATTCTAGAGTATGATAATAACTTCCATGTTCATAAATTGGCAGAATTAATATTATGGAAATGACTGTATTATCTAAGTTAACCTACAAAATCAATGCAATTCTGATATTTTAAGGACATTCTTCACAGAAACAGAACACAATGTATATGAAAACAAAGTAAATTATATCCCAAATAGCCAAAGCACTGTTAAGAAGAAAGAACTGACAAAGCACTGTTAAAAATGAAGAACAGGGATGGAAGTATCAAAATTGTTCTTCTCAAACTGCATTACAGTCATTGTATTAAAAAAAAAAAAGATGGTGCTAAGGTGCTAGGTAGAAAGTACATGAATATAATATAATAAATTTTTGAACAGAAAAGAGGATACACACAAAGAAATACACGTAGTCTCTATCACTCTAATTTGACTAAAAAATACATATAACCACCACTGTTATTGATATCAGGAGTTTTGCTTGAAAATAAATAATGCTTCCCCTGCAGACTGAAAGCCTTTGTGATTAGAAAATTGAAATCATCCATAAAAGGGATTCTGTGACATAATAGAAGCTTAAAATGGAAAATAAAAAGGGAAATGAGGATAGAAAGAAGGCTTAGTTAAAGGAATTCAGATAACATTTTTTTTTTTACAAATGAGCAAGTTTACTAGATGTTACACTTTGGGGAAATTATAACTCATTAAAGAAAAACAGATGGAGAAAACAACTTATTCAACATGAGAGAAAAGATGGGAAAATTCCAACTTGGAGCTGATTTTAAAAATTCAAGAAGTTATATAATAAAAATATATCATGTGGGGGATGATTTGCTTTAAAATATTAAAATAATTCCACTTTTATTCTTTTTTCTTATTGTGTCATTTCAGTGTCTTCTACCCAGATTTCAAAACCAGACATTTTCAAGCTAGAAGAGAATAAAAAATCTGCACTTCTAGACGCCAAAAGTGGAGCTAATTCTGGAGGAGAGAAGGAATCTGACAAACGAGGAGATCTCACACAAGGCAAACCAGGAATGCTCATTCTTCAAGGACAACCAGGGTATTCCAACCAGCCAGGGAAACCAGTTAGTGGTTATCAGCCAGGGAGGCCAGAAGACTTGAATAAGCCTGAGACACCCAGTGCTTGGATTTTGCAAGGGAAGCCAGCAGAAGAAAACCAAAAAGGAACTCTACAGGCTTCCAACAAGCAAGAAGAATCAAGATCGCCTAGTCAGCAAGGAAAGCCTGAATCTCTTAGCCAAAAAGGGAAGCCAGCATCAGCTAAGGACAAGAGCAAGCCAGAGGTGAAGCCAACATTAGCTAGCAATAAAGGCAAGCCTGGACATTTAGAATCCTCTAACCAACAAGGGAAACCAGGATCCTCTAGCCAACAAAGAAAGCCAGAACCTTTTAACCCACAAAGGAAACCAAGGTCTTTGTATAAACAAGAAGGGAAAAATGTAGATGACCTTTTGAAGGATGATACAATGGGGATTGAGGTTAGTATTGATGCCTGATTTATTTTTTAAACTTACCTCAGTCATTTTCTTTTTCAAACATGGTAATAATTAACCAAATACCATAAACTCATAGCAATTTGCAATGCCACTAATTAAACAAAATGAAACCAATGTTAATTTCATTCACATCCATGATCACTGAGGGACGTTCCCTTTTATAACATTTTTTTCATTTCTTTCGTTCATCTTCCATTCAAACCTTCAAACATGAACTAAGTTAACTCAAAATCTCATCAACTGAGTCCACCCTTTCCAGGTTTGACTTTCACAGCCATTTCGATCCCAGCTGTAACCTATAAAGTACTGAACATGATAATTCCAAATCTTGCTCTGGTCCGCTGTTCCTGATCAAAATTAGTCAGTGCTTCTGTTTACTTAGAAAATACAACTTAAACTCCCAAATGTGATTTTCAGGTCAGGGCTTTTTGGGGATAGACCCCATTAGGCATCAAGTGTCATTCCAAATCGCACTTCCTTACATGCCATCCATACCACATACAGTCCTTTCATAGCCTGCTAATATGCCCCTGACCATTTCCTACATAATAAAAGTTATGTTGTTCCTTTATAACTATAGTTTCAACTCCATCAGGAACATGTTTTTAAAATACCATTTTTAAACCTATATTCTTATAGTCTAGGATGCATGAGACATAATAATCAGTTCTCCTGGTTTGGTCAATGAATGTAATAACAACACGCCTGATGCTTATGAGCATCCATGTGTTCAGCGTGACTTCTGCATCCTCTTTTGAGTCCTGCTTTGCTTCTCCCTCACTTGCCTTCTTTACCCTGTAATTTCCTGGTTTCATCTATCAATGATTCTGAACATTTCCATTTTGTACTTACACCTGAGTTTGATAGAACATGTCCTCTATCGCATTTAAGAGGTAAAATAAACTTAATTTTTTATTGATTTTTCTTGTTTTACATATTGATCCCAGTTCCCTCTCTGTCCCTCCCTCCCTCTCTCCCACCCTCCCATGCCCTTCAAAAGCCCTCGCATACCATCCCCCACACACAAACTCCACATGTAGGGTGATACCTTCCTGGAGAAGTCATCTAAATCTGTCAAGTCATTTGGAGTAGGGACTAGGCCCTCCCTCCTGCCTCTAGGTTAAGGTAGTATCCCTCCATGGAGAACAAAGTCCTTTTGTGCACAAGGGATACATCCTGGTTCCACTGTCAGAGGTCCCTTAGACTGCCCAGGCCTTCTAACTGAGATCCATGTTCAGGGGATCTGAGTCCGTCCAAAGCTAGATTCCCAGCAATCAGTCTGGAGGCACATTAGCTCCTCCTTATTCGGTCAGCTGTCTCTGTGTGTTTCTGTAGCCTGGTCTTGTCCTCCCTCTCTGCATTTGGATTCCAGTTCGGCTCAGTGTTTAGCTGTGGGGTCTGCTTCTGTTTCCATCAGCTCTATATTTCCATGAGAGCTCTATGATAGTGAATAAGATAGTCATCAATCTCATTATCAGGAAAGGGCATTTATGGTAGCCTTTCCACTGTTGCTCAAATTGTTATAGATCTCTGTACATTTCTCTAGAGTCAGTTTTCTCTTGAAACTTATAATGATTCCCTCGTTTATGCTCTCTCTCTCTCTCTCTCTCTCTCTCTCTTTCCCTCTTCTCTCTTCTCTTCTCTCTTCTCTCATATATTCCTCACCTGAATCTATCTTCCTAATCCCACGGGCATTGGTGGCACATGCTTTTAGTTCCAGCACTCACTCGGGAGGCAGAGGCAGGCAGATCTCTGTGAGTTCAAGGCCAGCCTGGTTTACAAGAAAACTTTTTTTTTTATCATATATTACCTATTTTCATCTTCATCTCAGAGGAAAGCTACTTTTTCTTCTTGGTATCTCTTGGTTGGTGCAAAGTATTACTCTCCTAGAAAGAAGACTGCCATTAATCTTAACACCCTCAGCAGGCTTTTACAGTCTTCAGAACATCATACAGCTTTGACAACTTTATATTGCTTCTAAAATGGGAGAGATAACTGTGTTTATTTTATAGACTATGTCTAAATCAGTCATCATCATAAGAAGGTTATTAACTTTTAACTAAAATTATCAACCTTGTTATTTATTAATGCCTGTTCTCAGGGGCTTGTCAAAGCTTCATGATACCAGTCTTCTGATATTTAGTAATTTACACTCTAGGAAATATCCTAGGCACTATTTAAAGGAATTGTGCATAATCTTATTCCTGCCTCATCTTTCTTTGGCACAGGAAAAAGATGTGGCTTTTCCCAGGCTTGCTTCTCCTTTTAGAGTTAAGATCTGTCTCTACATAATTTAAGAGCAGACTATGTGTTGTGAACTTTGCAGTAAATAACTACATATTTAGGTCATTGATTAGATATTTAACACATCCATGTGTGGTGCTTGAACCTGTAAACATTATGCTTCCATGCCTAGAGTCATAAAATAAATCAAAATATATTGTTCATTCAAGACATTCACATAACCTAAACCTATAGATTTATTGTATTGTATGTACTAAGGAAATAATGTGATTGGCAGAGAATAATGCTTCCCAATAAAAGAGCAATTGGTGTTTTCCTTTGACTCAAACTCATCACTCTGTCCCTTACCTGATGCTCTCTTCCATTTTTGCAGGCTGGAAGCATGGTCAGCAATAGCCCAACTGGCAAAAAAAGGTGTGGCGCAGTTTACAAACCAGTCTGTGGTTCTGATGGAAAAACATATGGGAACCTGTGTGTATTTAAGGAAGCAGAGAGGTAGTAATCTTTTGTTTTCCTTTTCAGTCATAGAAAAGAGAATAATGCCTTATCTGTCTATATATTCTTCTCTAAACAGTGTGCTAGCTACTATTTGTCTAAGGAAATATTTAAAAGATACCTAATTCTTTTTTAAATTTACAGGTGTGAGTGTCTAAGAAGGCCAAAAGAGGTTGTCAGATCCCCTAGAGCTGGAGATAATGGGTTATTCATTCCACTTAGAAATTTGAGCCACTCACTATGGATGCTGGGAACCAAATTCTTATTCTCTGGAAGAAAATCAAGCTCTCTTAACTACTGGGGCACATCTTTAGCCCCAAGATACCTAATCATTAAACTGTACATTCAATTAAATCTTGGGGAATGGTGTTTACTAATTCTAATCACACTAGGATAAAATTACTTTCAGTTGTAGATTTTCCAAATATTTCTTAATAGTTCCCATGTACCAGACAGTGCTTTAAGATTTGGAAGTAAAACAATGAACAAAACTCAGAAATCCCTGCTTTAGTGAACTTTAATGTTTAAAATATAAGAAGAAATAGAACATATCAAAAAAAAAACCCAAACACTAGGAAAACCTTAGTTATTGTTGCTTAAAATAATATTCTAATATTGTAATGATAGTAAAGATTGGAATTGGTGAGCCATATGAACTGTATAATGTTATGCTCTGCTACAAGAGATAAAATTATTTATCCCACTTAGAAAATGTAATACATTGGCATGGGTGATAGATGACTCATTGAGTAAACGTTCTTGTCTCTAACACTGACAGTATGAGTTTCATCCCGTGGACACACATGGTAAAAGTAGAGAAGTTAATCCTGCATATGTGTGTCTTCTGAACTTTGCATATGTGTGACAGTATACATCTGCCCCCACACACAATTACATAGAATAAAATAAATAGAATTCAACAGAAAGGTTTTTAAATTGTAACAACTGCAAGTAAAGAATATTTCTCTTGTTTTCAACTGTAATGGAATCTGGGGATTACTTAACTGTTAACATTGTACTCCCTGTGACCTTAGACACTAATTCTGTCATATTATTGATAAAGTGCCTAGTCTAAAGAGGAGCAGTAGCAGAAGCAAAGTGTACAGATCTGCAGAACAGTGAAGGAGGCCACAGAACACAGCAGCTAAGCCTGCTCATCCAGACTGGTTTCAAATAATCGTGTGTGTGTGTGTGTGTGTATGAGTGAGTGTGTGTGTGTGTGTGTTTGTGTGGTGTGTGTGTGTGTGTGTGTGTGTGTGTGTGGTGTGTGTGTGTTTGTGTGTGTGTGTGTGTGTGTGTGTGTGCATGTGTGGGTGCATGGTGCCACAATGACTTGATTTCTCTCATGTTTTTTTTTTTTTCAGGCTGAGTAAAGGGAAGCTGACACTCAACCATGAAGGGAAATGCTAGATGTTCTCATAAACCAACTTATCTATAACCTCAAAATCCACTTGCAATTCTGATTTCACAATGGATGTCCTGGCGAGTTCAAGTGTGAAGCTAGCATGATGTTCTATGGCTAAAGGAGTCTACATTAATTTTGAGCTTGTTCCATTTACTGCAAATAAAATCATTTCAAAGTAGCTTCTGGTTTCTGGACTTTCGTGTGTACTCTCACAAACATTATCAGTGTCTTTGATCACTCCCCTTGTGAAATTTAAAAACCCTGTAAATATGAGTCTTTGTCTTTCCTTCAATACCTGAACCAACATGTAAAACTTTCAGGACTGCCTGCTAAGTATAAGGTTTTCTCACTTTAGGAATCTTGATTCTAGAAACCTCTGGTAGAATTAAAGAAGTCTCAGTGAAAGTCTACTCTGTGGTTTTCTAACCGATTTTGTAAGAGAATATTATGAGCAAAGGTATGTAAACAAGTTCAGTGACCTAATTGAAGTAGACAAAATCATAAAAATGCATCATCCCTAGTGTACAAATGGACTCTGGGGACCCATTCCACATAGAGGGATGCTCTCTCAGCCTAGACACATGGTGTAGGGCCTGGGCCCTGCTCCAAATGATGTGACAGACTTTGAAGACTCCCCATGGAAGGCCTCACCCTCCCTGAGGAGCAGAAACTGGATGGGATGGGGGGGAGTTGGTGGGGGGAACAGGAGAGGACAGAAGATTGTAGAAACTGGGGTTGACATGTAAAACAAGCTTGTTTCAAATTTAAATTAAAAATACTAATATTAAAGAACACATATACTAAATAATAAAATAAAATAATGCATTATTGTCTAAGAAGAAACATGAATAAACCT